GACTGCATCATTCATTTGGGGAGATATCATATGCAAAAGAAAAGATTGAAGAATAATGCAATGTCACAGCCCATCAGCATATTAAAACTGTTTAAAATTAGCATCTGGGCATGGGTCATGAGAGTTTGGTCGGAAAGTAACAGCTGTAGGACTTAATTCAGGAGTGGTTTTATGTATCGAAGAATTGAATCAAGATTTATATGAGGCAAATAGGAATAAAACAATGTTATCTGAAACAAGAGAAATCACAGTGAATGTGGATAAACTAAGAAGGAATTGATGGAAGACTGGTAAACATTGCAACATAGCTGGAGACAAGAGATACACTTGGATGGATATAGAACATGTGTCTAGTAAAGGTGATGACTCAAGTATGCAGAAAATGACATTGAAGGGGGTGAACCCAGTGTGTTACAACCATTGCGTCTTCTCAGCAGAAAAACTAAATGATGTGCTATCAGTCCCATTGTCTACCTAGAGTCCTTCTATCCGATAAAGAAATTGCACTACCATTGGCATTCTACCATCAGTAGGTAAATTGGCTAGTTTTTGAGATTTTTTTAAAAAAGGAAATTCTAGTAAAAGAGAGAACAGACTTTAGACAATCTATTAATAGTTTCTCTTGAAACTGATACTGGTAATCAAGAAAGATGAGGTCAGTGAAAAAAAAGCTGATTGGAGTTGAACTAATGTGTAGATCACTGGCACCTCCTGGTGGCTAAAATGTAAATACATCGTCAAGAAAATCAAATGGCCCATCTTAACAAAAAGTCTAGCAAGTAATGTAAAAACCAGACACGTGCTTGATAAATAACCTCTGGTTGCTGTGTAGGAATGCTTTATAGAGGAGAACATATAGATGCAGATAATTGATAGAAGAGCTGACAGTTGTTCACTAAGATGTTAGTGTTAGCATCTGAGAAAAATAATGGATTCAAGACACTTTTTTGTTTTTAATATTTTAAATAATCAATCTAATTAAAAGGAGGATTAGAGACATTTGTAAGAGTAAAAACCAATGGAAATACCTTAGGTTTACAAGTGTGGAAATTTGTAGATGTATAACAAAATACTCAAAAGTTCATGGAAATGAAAAAAGTACCCACAGTCACAGCTAACAAAGAGAAGATTCAGGACTCAATCTCTAGCTTTCCTGTTTCCAAAGCCCTGGTTTTACCCTGGTTGTACAAAACTACAACTCTTCAATGTGTTTAATAGAAAGACTGGAAAATAGGGCCAGCAGGTGGCATGGTGGTTAAGGGCACTGGACTCCCACATGGCAGGCTATATTTTGAGTCCAGGACCTGGCGATTTGCTTTCTCACTTTCCTTCTCTCTCTGTCCTCTCTCTTTCTCTCTCACTTTTTCTCTCACTCTGTCCCTCTCTGGTCACACATGAATAAATAAATAAAGTCGAAATAAAATAATCCTTAAAAAAAAAGAAAAGAACAGACTAGAAAAGTCTGTGTCAATTCACATGCTTTGACTAGGCCCTGAAGTTAGATAAAAAATAAGATGACTTTGAACATTCATCATTTTTCTAAAGCGTTTTAGAAGGAAAAAAACAACAATCAGAAAGCAAAATGTTTACAAAAATAATGTTTCCCCCAAAGACTTACTGGTGCCCCTTTCTTTGTGATCTTCCTATTTAAAAAACAAAGAAAAAAGAAAGAAATATATAGGTATTTACTGTGCTGTCCCTGTGACCTGGTGGTTAAGAAAACTAGATCCCAAATGGCCAACCATGCAGTTTGAATCCTAGTCCTAGAGGCTTGTTAAACAGTCCTAGCTCATATGTGTACATGCCTCCAATCCCAACAGGTTTGATAAGTGGGGGAGAAGGGATTGTGGTGTGACCACACCTCATTGAGAGGTACTTCCTTCCTTTTCTTTCTTTTTTTTTAGAATTATTAATTTTATTTATTTTTAATTTTATTTATTCATCGATTTTAATTTAAGCAGAGAGACACATAAAGGGAAAGTGAGAAAGCAAGCCACCAGTTCCAAGACTCAAATCATGGTTGGCCATGTGGGAGTGTCCAGCACCTTAACCACAACGCCACCTGCTGGCCCCTCTTCCTCTCTCTTTCTATCATTCTCTCTCTGGTGAGCACACAAGCACCTTGATAGAATTGAAAAAATATATATGTTTATGTTTAGTTGCTTTTGAGTACAAAAGACTATTTCTAAATGGAGATATGCAGTCAATTATTAGTAGAGTAACACTCACTGAAAGTCCACTCTGGGCAGAAAATTACATATAACACCCATTGGATATAGGGATATAATATGCATATTAGAATCTATATTCTAGCCAAAGCCCATGGTACCTATTCTGGAAGTTTATCATTAAATGATATGAGGGAACATAGGGAAACTGCTGTCAAAGCATTTGCAAGATGTAGAAACATACTCACACATCTGAATACCAGCTGCAGAAATTAACCTGGAAACCTGTGCTGTCTAAAAGATAGTCAGGAGGTACATGCGTCTATGAAGTCCTTGAAATGTGGCTAATCCAAATTGAGATATGCTAAAACTTTTAAGTACTGGGCAGATTTTGAAGATACAGTGTGATAGAGAAAATGTAAAATATCTCAGTAATAATTCTACACTGATTATAAGCTGAAATAATTTTTAAGTGTTCTAGGTTCAACAAAACACATTCAAATGAATTCTCTCTTTTTTTTTCCTTCTTTATTGTGGCTACAAAAAATGGAAATTACCTATTTGAATTGCATTTGTAGGGTCACATGATATTTCCATTGGAAAGCACTGCTAGAGGCATGTGCAGTAGAGGGTTACTTGATTTTCCAAGTGGTTTTATCAATTTATATGCACATACCAATTTATTTGCTTTTTCTTTTAAAGTACATTCTTCAAAATGTTGATTTTTTTAAACTTCCAATCGACTTTTCTAAATTACTCAAAAATTCTATGTTACAAAGAAATGTAAAGCATTTTGTAATACTACCTTCAGTAAATTCAGAAATTTAATAACCTTTTACTATACAACAGACAAAATTAAAATTATGGAGGAAAACATCAGAACATAGAACTCAAGGTTCCATTGAAGAATGGCAGAAGTTCGTGAGTTAAATGCAAAAGTTTTATGCTTAGGTAAATGATTTGGGAAGTACACGGCTTTCTTCAAATTCTAAAAGATTTCTATGACCCAGAAAACATTAAGAATCATGACTGAAGAATAAAGTGAAAAATCATTGCGCTGGAATTTTGTAAAAAGTTGTTTAAAAAAAAAAAAAGAAAGAGCTCTAAACTTCACAGAAATTAGAGTCAAGGAAAAGCAAATATATTATACAGTTTTCACAGGATAAAAAGAAACACACTGGTCTCTGTATTAATAATTATGCTTACACAATCATTTAAAATTTGCATGTGCTTTTTATAGCTTGAATTGAAGTTGAACCTTAAGGAATAGTGTAAATTATTAAAATTAGCCATTGGTCACATGCCAAGCAAAGCTCCTGAGTCAGTAAAATGGAAAAGTCCCTACAAAAGGAAGAGAGAAGATACTGAAATTATCTTGTGTTTCTTGCTAAGGAGTGTGAAGCAGAAAGGGAATTAATCCACAGCACAGAGACAGTTCTTTCTGTCTGTGTTAGGCAACTGGTAAAGGAGGGCCTTGTTCTGTAGGGGCTGTATGTTTCAGTAGGAAAAACAGTTACATTCGACCACCCTGGGAGAGGCTTATAAAACTCTTCCAAGCTAGTAAAGGAAAAGGCCCAGACAATTAAAACAGGAAGTACCAGCTGGGGAAGATCTCCACTGGTGCTCATGAGTGTACAGGCCGCATAATGAACAACAGAAGAATAGATGTGGGGAACTCCTAGCAACCTCCTATGGGAAGGGGCAAGCAGGTGGGCCTCATCAGGAAGTGTTCGCTAGTTTATGTCCTGAAAACCCATCAAACACTAAGAAGCTATTTTCTTTTAAAACAAAATAAAATTAAAACCAAAAATTGATTGAATATCTTCATTGACAGGAGAGTGGGCCTTCCTATTGGGCTTTAGATATTTTTTGAGTAGTGCTTCATTTTTTTTTGTGGCATATGGTTGATAAAATTCTTTAGAAGAGCTTTTTATCTAATGTTCACATCTCCTCACACGTGTGGTTGACAGAAGGGTCTCCTTTAAAAATATTTTCTATTATTACCTGAAAAAGTTTTTGCCAAATTATGTAGTTCAGCCAAATTATAACTTGAAATAATTATCGCCAAATATAGCCAATATTTATAAAGCTTTCAGAAATATGATTGTGGAATGTTTCAATTGCTATGGGAGATAAGAGCAAAGGGTAAAGATAAAATTAATAGAGAGAAGTGATAACTTAAGTCATTGTTTTAGAAAAAAAGAGGAATCATTAGTCTACTTGATGAAAAAGAAAAATATCTACAGTCATTTCGTGCCTTTACATTGCCCACATCGTTTTTGTTGTGGTTAGATTTAATCTTTCTCTCTGGATCACAGAGTCACAAGATCCACATCTGGATCTCACTGTACAATATGGTATGTGAAGTTCCCATGATTAGAGAACACTATTCTTCACACAAAAAGAAAAGGCATTACATGTGATCAGGAAAGAAGAAATGGGAAACCACCCATAGAGTCCAAGTACTCATTCTGCCAAATTCTGAGAGGGCTTATATCTAAAATCCAGTAATAACAAGAGGGGATTTCCACTGGTGACCAAGTGAATTTGAGGTATAACCAAGAAAGAAGGCCCAAGGTGAAATAACTCCATTTCTGAAGCCAGAACTAAGTTCTAATTCTGGGCTTTTCACAAATTAGAAGTATAATCTTGGACTTCAGTTGTCTCACCACCAATTGAAGGTAAAGGACTTAGAAAAAAATTGGTGCATGAGAAAATCAGGGATGACAGTTTTTGAAAACCACAACTTCAATTTGATTTACATTTTTTTTCTAAAAATAAACACAATGAGATTCAACTTTCAGTATATCAAGAGATAAAAGTCAATAAGATACTTATGATATTGCCCTTTAATTTATACTAAAAAGATACCCTAGGTAATTTCACAATAATTTCATCCCTCTACAGCTATATTATTTAATCATTAATTTAGTTATTTATTTATTATTATTATTCTTTAATTGGACAAGAGGGAGAGAGAGAGAGAGAGAGCAAGCAAGCTGCCAGGTCTGAGACCTGAACTGCCGTCAGCCATGTGCGAGTCCAGTGCCCCAACCACCAAGCCACCTGCCAACCCCTATAGCTATGATTTTTTGCTTTAAATTATTTTGAAAATATGACCCACAAAGGATTCTCAGATTTTTGGAGGGAGGTACACAGAGAATTTATCCACAGTGAAGCTTGGTGGACATAATAACTTGGTTATTTCTTCACTGAGTAGAATTTTGCTTGTATCTTTCTTTTATATTCAAAATAACTGATGATAGCCAGTCACAATTTTTTCATTCAGAGGTTTGATGTCTATGCTCTAAACACAGACATTTCAATGCAGCAGGCATGCCAGGATTCTCGAGCCATATGGCAAATGGACCATAGAACATAGCATGTGTTTTGTTCTTCTTCCTCTTCTTATAATTTATGTAAATGACTAGTTATCAGCACTCCTTCCTTGTTTTATATTCCCCTTTATATTTACTCTTATAATATTTTCATGATCTCCTTTATTTTTTTATAACTTATGAATATTATAAATTATCAGCAGTGCAGTATGTCCAGTGGTTTATACCATTGTGGCTGCTGTATTCCACAATCCAGGTGTTGGAAACATAATCCCCAATACAATAGTGTTAGGTATAAGAAAAAGAATGTTTGATTCCTGAGAGTTATTGGGTCATCCAGAAAGTCATGATGCATTTTTGCACAGAAAAACAGAGAAAAATACATCATGACTTTCCCAATGACCTAGTAAAATCCAATTCTAAGTTTTCTTTGTTCCATTTTCTCTCACTCACCCAAACATAATTGTACTAAAAAATTCTTCACGTATAGGTAAAAGCTAAATTCTACAGAGAAAACAGGCAGATCTGGAATTTGTGTATTTAGGGAAAAGCTGTTTGTTATCAATTTCTGCTGCTTTAAATCTAACATAGTTAAGAATGGAGCAATTATGCATAGTAAGCTTTCTTTCAAAGCTAGAACACAAAAGAAGGTCTTGTCAGGAATTATTAATGTCTTAAGTAAAGTTCATCATAGCCAAAAACCTTGCTAAAGAATAAATCTACCAAAAAAAGAAGTGTGTGTACTTTGTAGAAATGGTGGGGGAGGTGATGGAGAGAAGAAAGTGGAAGACTCATTTTCTTAAAAGGTAGGTAAAAAATGGATATTTCTTTGGATGAAAGGAAATACAACCTCAATAATAAATAAATCCTCTTTTAAGAAAATAAGCTTAAGTGAAAGGGAAACTAGAGGTCAAAAATGAAAGCACAAGTTTAGTTCAGAGAAGAACATTATAGAAAGAGCACTGGGCTGAATCAAACCTTGGAATTTACTGGGGGATGGAGTATAGAAAGGTTATTCGACCAAGATCACTATTTGTAAAAGGTGGTATAGACATTTTATTTGTGTGTTACCTACATAGACTATACAATGACTGTATTTGTAAATTAATATATACAATATTTAGTATTTTTGCCACAAAAAGTTAATTATTTGCTAAATATAAGCATTTAAAATGAAGCATCATTTCTAATGCAGGTATGATTTTCTCTTATTTTCATTTTTAATTACATCAAAATCTAAAAAAACATTGAAAAGGAGGTCAGATAATTGTACATCTCCTATATGTCATGTTTTCACTTGCTAAACATGTAAAATTGGTAAACATACTTAGTTCTTTTGTAGTCCAGTTTTATCATATGGAAGAAGGAATGATAATGTCTGTTCACCTAAGTCCGGGGTTGTTGTGAAATCTTTTATGTAAGTCACGAAGCACGCAGGGACCTCTATGGTTGTTATAGAGAGCTAAAATTAACCTTGAAGAGTTATTTTTTTCAGTAATTAAAGTTATCCAAGAAATTTGGAAGCCGGAAGATCAAAGTGAGTATTCTACAGTATTGTTGTTAGTCAAGCTCACATTTCACATACCTAAAGTCACCACTAGATCAAATACTGATGATATTTTTCTGTTGGGTGGTTGGGGAAGTCATGATCCATTTTTGCACAGAAAAATAGCAAAATACATCATGACTTTTCTGACAACCTAATAGCTATTTCTCTTTAATATATCTTTCAAACAAGTACTAAAGAAGGTGGTTAATAGGATGAACACAAGGCCTTGCCAACAAATCTAGTGTTAAAGCTATACTTGATATTTATTATATTCCTCCTTTAGTACCCACTCAAGATTCCCCTTACCCTCAGCAGACACTTTTGTTACCTTCAATGGTTTGTCTGGTAGAAGGACCCAGAGCTTCATCCCCGAGGGTTGCTATGGCCTTCTCACGTGTGAGCTGATAAATTTGTCCATTTAATGTCAAAACTGAATAAAGCAATCCTAAAAGATGGCTAAGGTGGCCACTTGAGTGCCAACTATATTATTTGCTTCCATTGAAGAGCAGCCTCTTGATAATCAGAATCAATAAATAGGTCAATGATCTCTTTTTCTTTTGCATGCTATATTCATGGCACAAGAAGCTTATGGTGATTAAACAGTTAACTGTTGAAGTTTAAGTTTTAGTGGGATTTTTGCTGTGTTTGCTGATAGAAGCTTTCTTCATCTGGTAACCAAGGCCTCTAAACTCACAGAGCCCAGAGTTGTCAGACTGAGAAATGCAACTTTCCAAATTGGGGCACTGAAAATGATGGTTAATCAGGATACTCCTCAGTTCACTGCTTAATTCTAGGACCCATGCATTCTTTCATTTGTGGACATAGTAGCAAATATAGTGGTTGACTTAGAGTATGTACAATATTCACAAACTGTCTTCTCTAACAAAGTGCTTAGATGTTCATTCAAAAGGGTGCATCATTATTAAAGACTGGTGACTCCTGAGAGAAATAGTATGTGATAGGACCTACAGATGTTATGGGAATAAATTAATACCAGACTTACTTTGATGTGAGGTAGGTCATTTGATCCAATGATATCTTATATGGAATCACATGTCAATGGATCAGTTATTCAGTACGTTTTCTAGTAACGGTTCCGGCCAGGCCCTTCTGGAAGCAAAGACAAACCACACTGCAAGAGTGTCATCCCAGGATAGAAGGACACTATAGTCATAGAGTTGGTTGGCCTTCTCAAGAAATGATACCATATTTGCGTTCAAAGTTGATCCCTGTTGCTGGAAGCCTGGAATTTGTTAAAGGCACTCACTATATAATCCTTGGTGAATGTAAATAGATGGAGTTTAGACTCCATAACTGCCACCAAGTTGACTCTGTATGTGTTCCCCAATGTGCCAGTATTGGTATGGCTGACATCAACTCATTGAGTCATTCAGTCTAGTTGGTTAATTTGAATCTCTTTTATGGTTTATCTTCTCTTACAGGAATTAATAAGCAGTTGACAATCCATCGCACTTGATATCCATTTACAGTGGGTTATACAAATTTTTTGTCTGCAGAACTCCTCATCTCCAGTCTTCTACTTTCTTTTTCTAGCCCTCAACCAGGAAACCAAGTAATTTTTCACTACCTATGTCTCTGTATTGTCATTATCTCAGACCACTTCTTATTCTCCAGAAAATAGATGACCAGGTATACTGATCAAAGTTCTTGCCATTGGGACAATTTTCCCTTAAAATATTTTTCAGTGCTACTCTTGAGTTGGGTAGAGTACATGTGGTCCCTTTTCAGTAGCAACTACCAGTTTGATTTTCTGATTAACTGACTTATCTATGACCTATGTTTGGATGTTTTTCTCACCTGGTTGGAGGCCTTAAAGGATTACCCTGTGTAGTCATAGGTGTGAGTTGAAGGAGGAGGCTGGTAAAAGAATGATGGACAACATGAAGGTCTAGGTCTGGATCACCTACTAGTGAATCTTATTTGTGATTTCTAGCCCTATTCTTATCTCATCTCAGCTGCACATTTTCAAGTTATAATGGAATCTTGGTGGCCCTGCCCAACATTATGATATAGTTTGCTGATCTCAGATCATAATGGGCAGTTCTGGTTGCATGGTTTTTTCAAGTCTCATGACCAGACATTGTGTCTTTATCAGGCTGAGGGACATGACTGAAGGTGTTCTTCAGGAAGTTAATAATAACTCTTTGATGTAGACAGCATAGTCTTACTATACATTAGCACTTCAGTTTAAGTGGAAGAGTTATCTATCATTGAGTGTGTATTTGGGGCCTCTATGAACACTTCTAAACAAAATGGAAAGCCAAGTTTAACAACTTCTTACACATATGTTCTTGACTGCATTAAGGTGGAGGGATATACCTTTGGGACCTTAACTGGTAAGGCTAACATTTATATGAGTTTATAGTAGGATGGACTGAATGAAACAAGAAAGTTTTACAGATTTCAATGCCCCTTTTCACTTAATCATTTTGAAAATCTAAAATGAAATGTTTGTAAACTATTATCAGAATCCTCTAAGGTTCTTTCAGATCCCAACATTAAAGGCAATGTCTACTTCAACTAAGCCTTTAAACTTGGAGGAGGTTTAATCACACAAATCAATCAAGTAATTCTGTTCAATGTAAGGGGCATTGAGAATAGAAATCAGGGCACATATTGGGCATGATTTTTGTTTTTCCTCTTTCAGGACATAAAAGCATACAATATCTTCATTGCCTATATTAAAGGGCTACTTGCTTTTCACTTACCAGCAAATGAGAAGAGGCTTTCTGTTCTGTTTACTTTGAAATGGAACATTCTTAACCCGTAAGAGTGATACTATTGTCTTCTAACAGGAAAGGCATTTTGTGTTTACCAAAGGTATGGCATATCTAAAAATTTTAACATAGCAGGAGCCTAAATGAACACTTGGCAGAAAAGTAGAATATTATTTAAACAGGAATTACATATGATATTATATTATAACACTCAAGACTGAGGAACAAACCTTTTAAGGGGAAGGGATTTTCCTGTTCTTAAAGAAATGTGGATGTTATTAGTAAAGTCTGAGCCCTACAGACTTCAGTTCATTGTAGCAAAAAGGCTCTGAGAAAGATGAAATCATCTGTATTATATTATGAGCAGGCAGGCCAGTTGAAAAGGGACATTGAGTATGCAATGTGGTAGATATTAGCGAACACTTAAGAGAAACCACAGAAAACCTCGTGCATTGGCCTGGAGTAAGCCTTCAACATCTGCTCAGGCCCTTCAGAGTCTACACTGCTGAGAACATAAGTCAGTTTGTTGGTCATTCCTCTGAACTTGAAGCCAGATGAGCAAATCCAAGCCATTTTATGGTACAATCATTCAAATCATTCCAGTATGTTACAAGAGTTTTTGCCTTTGCCTTGAGCTTCAAAAAGAATTAGGCAGTATTTGTAACACTTCACACATTCCAAGGAAACGATTGGATCCAATTGTGAAAGTTTGCAAGTTCTGATGAATTTCTAATATATAATTTATGTTGAGCACTCAATTTAAAATGATACTTTGCTACAGAGCCATGATGCTAAAGGCAGTAATTGCTATTTTTATTGTTTGTAATCATTTTATTAAATTCATGCTTTTATGAATTTACATTTTTTATTATTTAATAATAAATATTTATAGTATAAAATGTCACTAGTCCTTGGACTGTTTTATCAGAGGCCTGTCCAAATGAGTAGATTCACCAATTGCGTTTAAGATCAACAGAAGGGCATATAAAGATGACCACACAATAAGTATTATATTACATCAAAATTTTCTTTCATTTTTTTAGAGGCATTTTTGCTGTAGGGTGTGTGCACTCAGCAGAGAGACAGAGAGAGAGAGAGAGTGACCGAGATATAAAAAGTGAGAAATCACCCTCCAGGGGGATGGCCATGAAACAATCCTTTCTCCTCCAGTCTCTCCTTGGGATTTTGGGCATGCATGCACACACGCATGCACACATGCCCATCATGAGTTTTAAGCCGCCGAGTCTAGAACCTGAACTACAGTCAACTATGTGGGAGTCCAGTGATATAACCATTATGCCATCTGCTGGTCCCCATCAAAATTTTCAGTAAGTGCTTTTAAAATACATATTTTTAAAGTTATGAAGCTAAAACAGATATTTGGGTTATGTTACTGTAGTCACCTACATTATTTTTTTTTTGCTGTCCATAAAATATCTCTTTATACACTACCTTATTTCTTTTTTTTAAGTTTATTTACTTATTTTTCTGACCAAGAGAAAGAGAGAGAGAAAGAGAAAAAGAGAGAGAGGGAGAAACAAGCCCAGCAGGATCTTTATGCCACAATCCATCTGTAGTCTAAGCTGGCCTGGATCACGGGCACAAGTGTACATTCCCAGTATGTACAGTGCAGGCTCAGGACAGGTACCAAGATCTTCCTGAGGTGGTCCAGTGTTGCTGAATGTTGCATTACTGCTATGCATCTGGCTGGCTCTATAAGTATATTTCTCATAACCTTATTTGAGAATCTTTATGAGCCAAGCCAGAGTAAATAGTATCTGTTTATCACAGAATTCATCTCATTCTCAGAAGGAAATTATTTGATGCCATGACTAGAATATCTAACATACAGCTAATGGCCTCAATGTTTCCCTGTTAGGTTAGAGTTAGGCCAGAATCTGCCTGTTAGGTCGGTGCTTCCTGGTGGTGAGGGGAAAGGGGAGAAGGACCTGGCAGAAATTTTATGTGGACTCACAAAATGCTCCTTATGTTTTTCCTGAATTCTGAGAAGTTGTATCTAATATTTTTATATTTGAGAGTTAAAATAACCTCAAGAACAACAAAGATGATCTGTTACCTACCACTTGCCAGAAGTATGCTTAAATATTTGTGTCATAATGGGTTGTCCAAAAATTCATGATGCATTTTTTTTTCTTTTTTTTAAATTTATTTGTTATCATCATAATCTTGTTTATATTACATTGAATCACATATAACTTTACAGTGTATTACATTTCTTTTTCCAGAAGGAATACCATGCATATCAGTCAATACAGAGACATTAAAATCCCCATTTCATCATCCAATAGTTAACGTTCTTTTTTTTTTAATAAATTTTCCATCCAAAATACACTGTGCATTGGCTCAATCAAGCACATCCACATACATGTTCTCAGCAAATAATTTTCCAATTCTTACGTCCTGCATACCTTGCCCTTTGTCTTGCCATCCCTGATTCCCCATCCCCCACCCTCTGCTATGTCCCATCTTCCTCCCCCATTGTCCCTGGCATCCATGGTTGCCCTCCATAATGATGCATTTTTGAATAGAATAATGGAAAAAAAAAGATAATGACTTTTCTGACAACCCAATATTTCTTAATACTCACAACTCCGTAGAGTTAGTGTAGGTATTAGTATCCTTATTTCTTTGTTGAGGAAATTGAGAATTAAATGAGAGTTTCTCAAAAGTTTATAGAAAATATGCATCATGAAAAAGCATGCACGAATTTAAAATAAAATTGCACCAGAATAGACTTGCACATTAATTCTATTTTTCTACAAGCTTTTTGAAGTTTTTTCATAGAAGTCAGTTAGCAACCTTGAGCTTCCAAGGTGTCTGGAAGGTCAAAAGCTTAAAGTCTAGTCAACTCTAAGTTAATTGAGAGATAGCAATTATACATACTTATGTGGCACAGTGCATTTTTCCTGATACATGAATACAATGTACATTGGTCAAATCAGTATAATTAGCATATCCCTTCTAACATTTTTCATTAGTTTGTCTTGGGGACATTAAAAATCATCTTTTCTAGCTATCTTAAAATACACAGTATATTATTATCGCATAGTATATTATGATTAACTACAGTCACCCTACTCTGCTGTAGAAACCTACGGAGTTATTTCTCCTGTCTGACTGTAATTTTGTGTCTGTTAACCAATATCTCTCTACCATTCCCTTTACCATATTCTTCCCAACCTGTGGTATTGACCATTCTACTCTTTTATGAAATCAAATGTTTTAGCTTCTACAAATAAGTGAGAATATGTCATATTCGTCTTTTCATGCCCGACTTATTTCACTTAACATAACGTCCTCTAAGCACATCTATGTTGCCACGAATGATAGGAATTCATCTTTTTTATAGCTGAATAGTGTTCTGTTGTGTATCTATACCACATTTTTCCTTATCTATTCACCTGTTGTTGGACACTCAGGTTGATTCCATATATGGGAGGTCCAAAGCTTAAATTGAAAACTCCAAATATTCTTGAATAAATAGCTAAATAGAATCAAGTCTATATTATGATCCTGAGTATGTTAATATCCACACTCTAGCAGGCAGCATGCTAGAAGCCAACTGTTTATACCTCAAATAAATGGTAAACTGGCTTAACTCCAAGATATTGTTTTCCTTTTTTAAGAGAATATTAGTGAGGGTGAAAGAGAAAACTAGAAAAGGTAAAGGTAGACCTTGTTCATTTTGGAGCTGACTAAACCAAAGTTTCCTGAATCCTTTTCAAGCGGCTGTAATCATTGGATGACTAGTTGGGTCCTTAATGATCACAGAGGGGACTGGTATTTTCTGCTTCTAAAGAAGGAGCAAAAAATTATCAATCTACTTTGCCAGCCATAATGAAATATTTTAGTACTCTACTATATTCTAGGCCTTCCTGAGAAAGCTGACTTGCCTTTGCAAACCTAAAAGCATTTTGTAACAATACTTTAATATCTAGGAACAAAGTATCCACCGTACATCTGAAACATGCAGGAGGTTTTAGAACCCAGGAAGAGTGAATTTCATCCCATTTTATCTTATGCTTTATCTTCAATTCAGTTCTTTAGAACTAATAAAGTCATAGGTGTAAGGCAGCTTACAGAGCATCCAACCCAGTGTCTCCATACTCACCACTTAGGGAATTCACAAAGTTTCTAGATAGGACTCCAGGAAGTTGTATGAATATATTCCAGATTGACTCTTACTTTAT